TTTTTTTTTTTGTAACTTAGATAAAGGTTTACAGAACAAATAGTTTCTCATTAAACAGTTAGTACACATATTGCCCTATGACCATGGTTAACAGCCCCATGACATGTCAACATTGTCCTTTCTCGTACTTGGGTTCCCTATCACTAGCTTTCCTATCCCCTCCTGCCTTCTAGTCCTTGTCCCTGGAGTGCTGTGCCCCATTAGTCCCATTCTGTTTTATGGGGCTGTCCAATCCCCCAGCTGAATGGTGAACCTCAGGAGTGACATCACAACTGAGCTAAAAGGGCGTCTGGGGGCCATACTCATGGAGTTTCTCCTGTCTGTCAGGCCAGTAAATCTGGTCTTGTTTTTTGTGAGTTAGAATTTGGTTCTGCATCCTTCTCCAGCTCTGTCCAGGACCCTCTGTTGTGATCCCGGTCAGAGCAGTCAGTGGTGGTAGCCAGGCACCATCTAGCTGTACTGGACTCAGTCTGGTGGAGGCCATTGTAGCTGTGGTCCATTAGTCCTTTGGACCAATTTTTCCTTATATCCTGATCTCTTCCTTCTCCCTTGCTTCCAAAAGGGTGAGACCAGTGTAGTATTTTAGATGGCTGTTCACAGGCTTTTAAGACCCAAGATGCTACTCACCAAGGTAGAATGTAGAACATTGTCATTATAAATTTTATTATGCCAATTGAGCTAGATGATCCACAAGATCATGTTCTCCACAGCATTCCGCCCAGCAGTTGAGTCCCTCAGAGATTTTTGATGTGTCTATGGAGCTTCCATGACCTTTCTTTGTACAAGTTGTGCTGGCTTCCCTAGTGTTGTGTACTGTCTTACGTCATTTGATTTTTTGATTGCTGCTTCCACGTGCTTTGATTGTGGATTCAAGTAAAATGAAATTCTTTAGAACTTCAATATTTTCTCCATTTATCACGATGCTGCTTATTAGTCCAATTGTGAGGATTTTTTTTCATGTTGAGGTGTAATCCATACTGAAGGCTGTGGTCTTTGATCTTCATCAGTAAGTGCTTCAAGTCCTCTTCACTTTTAGTAAGCAAGGTTGTGTCATCTACATATGGCAGGTTGTTATGTGTTTCCTCCAATGCTGATGCTACGTTCTTCTTAATAGAGTCCAGTTTATCTGATTATTTTCTCAACATACAGATTAATTACGTATGCCAAAATGATTCAACCCTGATACACACCTTTCCTGATTTAAACCATGCAGTATCTCTTTGTTCTGTTTAAATTCCTGCCTCTTGATCTATGAAAAGATTCCTCATGAGCACAATTAAGTATTCTGGAATTCGCATTCTTGGCAATGTTATCCATAATTTTTTATGATCCACACAGTCGAATGCCTTTGCATAGCTAATAAAACACAGGTAAACATCCTTCTGGTGTTCTCAGCTTTCAGCCAGGATCCATCTGACATCACCAATGAAATCCCTTAATGCACATCCTCTTCTGAATTCAGCTTGAAATTCTGTCAGTTCCATGTCAATGAACTGCTGCAACTGCTTTTAAATGATCTTCAGCAAAATTTAACTTGCATATGATATTAATGACTTTGTTTGATAATTTTTGCATTCAGTTGGATCACCTTTCTTTGGAATAGGCATAAATATGGAGCTTTCACTCCATTGGCCAGGTAACTGTCTTCCAATTCACTTGACATAGACAAGTGAACGATTCCAGTGTTGCATCCATTTGTTGAAATATCTCGACTGATATTCAGTTAATTCCTGGAGCCTTGTTTTTCATCAATGCCTTCAGTGCAGCTTTGATTTCTTCCTTCAGTGCCTTTGGTTCTTGATCATATACTTCCTCCTGAAATGTCTAAATATCTACCAACTCTTGTTGGTACAGTGACTGTATATTCCTTCCATCTTCTTTGGATGCTTCCTGTGTCATTTAATATTTTGCCCATAGAATTCTTCAAAATTGCAACTCAAGGCTTTACTTTTTTCTTCAGTCCTTTCAGCTTGAGAAATGCCAAATTTGATCTTGCCTTTTGGTTTTCTAACTTCGGTTAAATCTTTACACATTTCATTATAATTCTTTACTTTGTCTTTTTGATTTGCCGTTTGAAATGTTCTGTTCATCTCGTTTACTTTATCATTTATTCCGTTTGCTTTAGATACTCTACATTCAACAGCAAGTTTCAGAGTCTCCTTTGACATCCATTTTCATCTTTTATTTCTTTCCTATCCTTTTAAATAATATTTGGTTTTATTCCTGTGTGATGTACTTGATGTCATCCCACAACTTATCTGGTCTTTTGTCATTAGTGTTCAATTAACCATATCTGTTCTTGGGAAGATCTCTAAATTCAGGTGGGATATACTGAAGGTCATACTTTTGTTCTCATGGATTAGTTTTAATTTTTCTTCAGCTTCAACTTGAACTTGCATATGAGCAATTGATAGTCTGTTGCACAGTTGGCTCCTGGCTCTGTTCTAACTGAAGATATTAAGCTTTTCCTTTGCCTTTCTTCACAAATGTGGTGAATTTGATTCCTGTGTATTCCTTCTGATGCAGTCCAAGTGTATAGTCACCATTAATGTTGTTGATTAAAAGGTATTTGCAATGAATAAGGTGTTGATGTTGCAAAATTCTATCATGTAATCTCTGGTATCATTTATATCACTAAGGCCATATTTTCCAAATACTGATCCTTCTTTGTTTCCAACTTTTGCATTCCAATCACCTGTAATTATCAATGCATCTTGATTACACGTTTGATCAGTTTCAGACTGCGGAAGTTGGTAAAAATCCTCAGTGTCTTCATCTTTGGAATTAGTGATTGGTGCATAAGTCTTAATACTAGTTATATTAACTGGTCTTCTTGTAGGCCTATGAGTATTCCCTTATCACTGACAGTGTTATACTTCAAGGTAGATCTTGAAATGTTCTTTCTGAGAATGTATGCAATGCCATTCCTCTTCAATTAGTCGTTTCCAGCAAACTACATCATGACTTTCATATTTAAAATGGCCAATTACAATCCATTTCAGCTCATTTATGCCTAGGATATATATCTTCTGTCTGGCTCCACCAACCAGCCTTCCTTGAAGTTCTGTAGCACTTAAAAATAATGCTTCTTTGCCAAATATAAATTAAAATTAAGCTCCACTTGAAAAGTACAACAGCTCTTATCTGAGATTTCATTATAAACTCTGTCCAAACTAGTTTATTTGTAATTCATCTGAGGAAATACAATGTAAGACTCCATGTCTAAACAATTCAAA